GATAATATATTATACTAGCATCGTCACGATCAATATCACGATAATTCTTCGTAAGAATAACAACATCAGTAACAGGTCAACTATAACAACAGCAAAAATAACAACAACAAGTCCACAACTACTATAATAGGAGTGCAACTGCCCAATAAACCAACCATACATAAACATAATCACATAAAGCAACACACAACAATACACAACAACAATAACAACGACATTTACACAATAACAACAGCCACAGTGAAAATAAGAATCGTAAGAAGCAACACGGATGATCAACAGAATGCATGAAAAATAACATGGTCTAAAAATAAACTTCCACGAGAGGAGATAGATAGTGTGGCGTGTTTGCTTGAAAACGTCTACATGCGTTTGTATGTGGTGTTTGTGATGCATGCATTTTTAATGCAGTTCATGCATTTGTATGTTATGATGCATGCATTGTATTTATACAATGTTAAATATATTTCAGCATGTTTGTGCACTGTACGTAGGTACGAAAGTATGAGCCTGTGTAAGCATGGAAATTACGTACACCATTAAGATTTGTGCTAGAATATTATGAATGAGAATAAATTTAAAAAAAAAGATAAAACAATTTAAACATAACAAATCGTTTTGTTAGCAATTTGAATTTTTGTATTTTTGCTGTCATCATGTGTCTACATATTCCCATAAACAGCTATTATATGCAAATGCGTGTTTTTAATACGAATGGAGGTAACTATTTTTAAATACTATCACAAGCACACATATACACACACAAACTCTTTTTTTATCTCACGCACACACACACGCGCGCACACATGCACACATTTAACTTAACCTCGTCAGAGAAGCACATCATTACTCTTCTGGCACAATGCAAAGACATGACTGTATTAGCATCTTCACAGATCCTCTTTAATAAAATATAATAAACATTCAAATTGTACTCTTCTGCTCCTCTTAATCGTCATCATCATCAACATTTGTGTCATATTGTTGTAGCATCATTATTTTTGTCATCTTTTTTCATCATCATCCTTCTCGTCACCACCATCACCATCATCGCACCATCCCAATCCTTACCTTACAACAACATCATTCTCATCTGGATTGGCAATCGACTCTGCTCACTTCATAATGTTATCTGCCATAAAACATTTAAAATTGCCCTATAAATTAAGTTATTATATGAATCACGTAATTTTTATGGTCTCATTATTTTAACACGTCTATATAGCACCTGGAAAAAGATGAAAATATACGTGAGGTATAATTTATATGTATAATGTGTGTGTACATAATACATAGTACATGTGAGTACACATACAATGTGTACGTACGAGTATGTATGGTGTGTATCTATATAACGTATATGTACACTGTGCTTTCATGTAAAAGGTTTAATGTCACAGGTCATTTGCACTCTTCGTGGGTTCAGAGGAATCAGCAGGCACCGCGAAACAGCACCAGGCCACGTTAACCACTGGGCCATCAAGCCGTCCAATATACAATGAACATGAAACGGACAGTTTTAGCATAATTAATTTTTGAATTAATACCAAAATTGTAATTAATTAGCGGTAGAGTTTGGAATAATGAGCTATAATCCATGTATCATGAATATTAAAACAAATCAAGACAAATAAGCAGACGGACACAGAATGGTACTGACAAATAAGCAGACGGACATACAGTGGCACAGACACATAAGCAGACGGACACAGAGTGGTACAGACACATAAGCAGACGGACACAGAGTGGTACAGACACGCAGTTTCATAGACAGATGCAGTCAGACAGGTAGGCACAGAATGTTAAAGATGGAAAGACAAACTTTTATATTAACAGACAAACTCAATCACTCCATCAGATATAAAGTACTCGCTAATGTTGAATGTTTCTATTTTTTAAGTCATTGCGGTTAATAATGAAGTCGTTTTCAAGGTTAACTTCAATTAATAGTTTGCTATTTTTTATTGTTTTTTTTTAATTTTTAAGAAAAAAAAATGTAAACGTTATTTATAAAAATATAATCTAATTGAACATTATGTAGTATTATGTAAAATGTTTTTTGCACACTATGTAGTTGCAGAAAAGAACTATTACTATCACTATTCTCCTCTACTTTCCAGCTCGTGCGAACCATCATCATAAAAGTTTGCCAACTTTAACAACCCAATTAAGTAATTCTCTATAAACAAAATGTTCAATAATGTTCTCAAACATCGTCTCAGATCAAGGACTCGCTTGCATTATATTTTTAAGCGCGCGCATTTGAGAACGAAGAAATAACTTTAGAACGATTTCTTGAGAGCTATTGTAGTACCGTTCCAACAAAAATGAGCACCATTAAAAATAATCATAAAAATCATTCTCATGCATGTTGTTGTTTTTATTATTTTTATCAAACTGATGAATCTATTGTATGAAATGGTTCAACGCAAAAAACTACACACACACACACACACACACACACACACACACACACACACACACACACACACACACACAGACACACACAGACACACACAGACACACACAGACGCACACACACACACGTTTATTGAATGTTTGGTTCGATGCATCACGACCATAAATTTTTTATTTTTACAACACAAATTAATACATTGTATATTTTACCATGTAACATTACATTACTACCAATTATAATGGAAAAATTATGCTTTGATGATAAAGCTAATGTTCTTATTTATGACATTTGTTTTGTAATGATAAAACAGTTTCATTTGTATATAAATCAATGCAACCATTGCAAGAATCCAAAGAGGTATCTTAACAAATTGATGCTTATAAATTAATGTACATACATATGGAATCGCATGCAAAAATAATACAAAATCATTAAATTTTTATTTCAAGTTTAGCGATCAAGAAGTGATAACAAAAAAAAAGTGTAAATACAACGCAGAGGCTGGGGGAGCATTGAAAAGATGCTAAATCAGCGAGTTAAAGTGTTGCTGGCGTGAAGTTTTTTTAAAAAGCCAGTAGTTCACAATATAATTTAAATTGAAGTTTTGTTCAACAGACTACCTTCCTTCATTCTTCATTTTTGTTTTGCTCTGTTTAATTTTTGTTTGCTTGTTTGGTTCTTGCTCAAAGTATGCTACCTCCGAATTAAGTTTATAATTTTTCTTATTCGAAATTGCAAAAATCTGACCAACTTAATAAAATGATTTGTCTTGCATGATGATAAACGCTAAATGTTTTGGAAATGAATTGAAATCAGATCGTTTGTTAAAGAAGCTGTTACAAATTAAACATCAATATTAAAATTAAAGTTATTTATATAGCTGTTTTGGAATGAAAGTATCATTAATATTTGTTTGCTGTTATCAAATTTTATGTCTTTTCATCTTATGCAGATAGCATTTAGCTGAGCATGTCGTTCTCGCTTAATTGAAGTGAACGTTAAAAATCTCATAAAAAAAATTCATCTTTTTAACGTTAACAGATAACATACAACTTTTTGATTAATAATTAGACGACTAATAATAAAAAAAATATTAAAAATAAATAAAATGAAACGTGCACATAAATATATAAGTAAAATACTTCAACGCCAGTTACACGCTGTGGGTAGACATGCCAAGTTATCACTCAACGGTGATGGCTCTAATTTTGACACGCATTCCAGGAAATAAATTCTCTCTACAGGCTCCTCTGTATATAACAATTATATGGCTGTCGTGTCCACAACTTGCGACTACTGTAGTAACTTCTCGTGCGTTGCAGTTGTTAGCGGCTGTTGTGGATGTATTGCTAATTGCGTTGTGTTATTTTTGTCCCGCTTTCGTGTTGTCTCTTATTTGCATCTATTTATTTTTCGCTATAATAACAGCGTCTAGAATTTCATCCAGAGTATCATCTTTATGTTCAGTTTTGTGTTTGGCGCCATTTCATTGGAATGTTAATTGTCAATCTTACATGTTTCCATTTGATCCATGTACCTAATATTATGATGATTTCAAGAGCCTGCGCCATCAGCCATCATCTGCATCTCCACTGAAAGATTATTATCTTTATAATCAGCTTCGTTGTTGCTGAAAAAACCAAGTTTTAATTATCTACATTGCTTGGAAGGTAATAATAACAATATTATTTTACAACGTTATTAAAAATCGGTTGCGTTAACTTCACTTACAACCATTATAACTTGTAACGATTTTATTTTTTAATCAGCAAAATTTCATATATGCAAAATAAATTAATGAATTAATTTGTTTCATTTATTAACAATCAACAACAAATCCCAAGGTTCTTCAAACGTACCAGCCCCATAACGGTCTCAATGCTGCTGTACCAAAGAAATTTTCAACAAACAGTTGACCTATAAACTTGAAAGCATCATCAATTTCTACTTAATCAGCATCGACAAAAAATTGAAAATTTTTTAAAAATAAAATTTTCTTAAATGTGAAAAATCTAGGACAACACTACAACAGGAGAAAACTACCAAAAAAAGTTAAAAACTGTGATACTAAATACAAACAACTTCAATCGTTGCAATATTTTCAAACAACGTCTATTTGTAACACTTATTCAGCCGCTACTGCTACCACCATTATTAATTATATTATTATTATTATTATTGTTGTTGTTGTTGTTGTTATTATTATTTATTGTTATTGATATTATTATTGACGCAACAACGTTGAAGCTGAATGGAATTCATGTGATCCTCTTGCTAATCCGCCCTATCACAAAACACGACGTACTTGAAATAGATCATCTACTTTGACAGTTACGTCATCACCATCGTCGTCGTCGTCGTGATCATTGTGGTTGTCATCATCATCGTCATCATCAGCATCATTGTGATCTCCATCATCTAGACTCATAATTTTTATCACCTTACTCATTATTTTATCATCGTCAAAAAATGTTCGCCAAACTGCATCAGTAATATAATTGATAAAACTTTTTCTAGTTCCATAAACCTCGCGTATACAAATTCATGTGAATATAACAAGTAGTTGCGAAACATTAGAAAAATGACGTCACCGACGCAGACATCAAATTCCGGCGGATTGGGATCGTTGAGGCTGACAAGCAGTTTGGCGGCTGCTGTTTTGAGTGGTGTTGGTCATCCTCCTCTGCCGGGAATGTTCAAATGGGACGCTGCAAAATTTGAGGAGGAAATTAAAAGAGAAAAAAGAATACGCCGGAAACAGAAGGTGATTGGTTGTTTGAAAAGGTTTGTAGCATTCCTCTTTTCACACGTTGGTCTGGCCGGGATGGTTGTCGTGTATTCAATTGTCGGAGCTTTCATTTTCCAGGTTAGCTTGTTGGTTGGTTGTTTGGTAGGTTTGCTGGTTGATTTTTCCAGATGGTTGGCTGGTTAGATAATTTGGTAGGTTTGCTGGTTGATTTTTCCAGATGGTTGGCTGGTTAGATAATTTTTAAGTTTGTTCAATTCTAAAAATTATTGAAATTAGCTTAGCTGCTTTGAAAGTGCGTTAAAAGTGTGGTTATGTGGTTATGTCTTTATTATGTTATGTTACTAAAATAATAATTAGCATTTTGTTGCTTTCCAGTGCTTCAGATAATGCACGCACTATATATAATCTCATAATGTACTTCTAATATTTTTTGACACATGGCATTCCAATGATCGTCAACGTAGGTCATCGAGAAGGAGCAAGAGAAGGCCGACAAAATAAAATATTCGAGAATGAAAGACGTCTACATTAACAGAACCGTCGACTTCATCCGCAGCCAGATCTACTACTACAACAACAGGAGCAAGAAGATCAGCAAGCACCACGTCCTCAGTTACAACATCAACATGCAAAACAATCTCAACTCAACACGCTTCGTCCAGTACCACAACGATCAACTCATTACGGAGATCGAGAATCTTTCTTATGATATGCTTTTCAACATTTTTTTGAACTTTCAAGAAAATGTGACCGAAGCTGTAAAGTCAGGAGGGTGGGACGGGAAAGATGAAACAAGTGAGTACATATTCTGTCTAGTAATTTTTTTTTATTTCGCTGTAACACATTTTCGAACTTCTAAAACCTCCTAACTTTACCAGCGAACACGGTTTAATATTAGCAGCCCGTGGTCATGCGCTCATAAATTGGATCACGATGATCGTACATACTCAATGAAGCAAGCAGCCTCAGTGCATGAACACGGACCGACATTTACATATGATCTGATCACGATTACAATATAAACAAAAAAAATTATAACAGTCATTGACTTATAAATAACCACCCATCCATCAATCCATCCATCCATCTATCCATCCATCCATCCATCCATCCATCCATCCATCTATCCATCCATCCATCCATCCATCCATCCATCCATCTATCTATCCATTTATCTATCCATGCAAACAGCTGATGATCATCTGCAGTGGTCGTTCGCTGGGGCTCTCCTGTACGTCGTCACTGTCATAACAACAATAGGTCAGTTGACTTTCCACGTTCATGCTGTTTTATTTTTCTAAATTTTAGCTACAGTTAAACTAACTTAAACTTTTATTCCAAAATACGTTTGATGTCATTTAAAACGGTTACAGCCATAAAAATAAGCCAAAACCTACTCTACCAACTGAACCGGCCAGTATTAACATATGAACAAACATCAATTATCTAACTCCAGCCAACATGTACTAACAAATAATTTTTAACAAATCGCCAAAAAAACATTTCAAACAGTAAGCTTGAAATCAATAAAACCATTTGTGGGTAAACATGGAGAGAGAGAGAGAGAGAGAGAAAAAGAGAAAGAAAAAAAGAAAGAGAAAGAGAGAGAGAGAGAGAGAGGGAGGGAGAGAGAGAGAGGAAATTATGAATTATTGCATGGTATTGTATGCATTAATAGATGAGTATGTACATGAGGAGTGTGTGTGCCGCTTCTCCTATCTGAATGATGTCCTTGTGTATCTGCATGCAAATTATATATTTCCAGAGATATGTTTTCATAGATATTTGCGGATGCAATTGTATCGCTTTGTGAATTTTGTTATCCCACTTTTTATATGCAGTTTATTTTTTTCACAAACGAAAGTGTTTCTCATTTTTATTCTCTAGCAACATATTTTTTGCACAATTTAGTAATTTTAGATTATTTTACTCAAATAAGTTTGTGCGGTTTTAAAGACAGCGTTTAAAAATATCTAATAGAAACGGAATTTTTTTTTCCAGCTCATTAATAAGTTAAGCACTCAAACATGTGAACGCACAAACATGTGAACGCACAAACATGTGAACGCACAAACATGTGAACGCACAAACATGTGAACGCACAAACATGTTCAGTGAGATTTTTTTCCACGTTAACCAACTTTTCTTTCAATTGTTCTGATAAGATTTCTTCATTTTTTTCAATTTTTCATGATTTACATTAAGTTACAGTACACATGAGCAGTGTAAATAAACGAATAAACAAACAAATAAAAAGCAAATAAGCAAACCAGTGTATGTGTTTAAACTGTGAAAATATTTTTACATTCATTAATTTAATTTTGTTTATAATTCTACTCATGCAACAAAATGAAATGTTTAATAAGACAACATATAAAAGTTTTAAAATTTACGTTGATGATGTAAGGAAAAATAATAGAAAAATAAAATGATATGGCTTGCTAGTAAGCAATTACCGACTGATGAGAAAAAATAAAAAACAGTTTGAGTTTATTAAGTTTAGCAAAATTAAACTTCAACGCTTTTAATTCAGTTGATTTCATGTTGGGAGATTGATGTGGGAAACGTCCTGTTAATTATTTCCTAATAAGGTTTATCACGCTTATTAGTTCTTGTTTGAATACTGGTTGCATTGACATGCTAACATTTAAAAAAATCTTTCGAATGCTTTCATGCTGTTCATTATCATGAGAATTGCATAAAGGTTTCAAATATAACTTAATTTGCAAATTTGTAGGCAAGCATTACGGAAAAAAGATAATTTTTTGTTGGCATATTTGATTTTAATTGTTAAACGAACAGAAATTCAAATTTAGCACAAAAATTTGAAATAAGCATAGGAAATATTATAATTTTCAGTTTTTTGGTTTCATTTCGTTTTTAGCAACGTTGAAGAGACTGAAGAGCGCGCGTGGATAATGTACGTAGAGAAAATGGAATATCAAATAAATGAATGGCTTTTTTACTATTAAGATGTACCTGACTACAATTTCTTCAGTGAATCCTACTTAACACATGCTGCTATCAATATTATGTACTGCAGTTTTTTTGTAACTTAAAATGGAGTAAATTTAACGCGCTCTTCTGGATTTTCTGACAGAAATTGTTACAAAGTTTTTGTTAATTACGTTTTGTTTTCAAAAACAAAATCTTTTTAACTACGTAAGATATTTTCAAATCAATAGAAAAATGTTTATTTATCAAAACTGTCCAACTATCGTTATTTTTTTCTTTTGCGTTTCAAATGTTTACAGTAAATGATGAATGATCTTCATCATAAAACGTACAAATGACTGCTTACCAGGCTCCGCTGTTAATTCCGTAGTTTGAAATGTAGAAAATATAATGAACTTATACGAAAATTTGTAGGTGCATTTATAAAAAGGTATTTGACCAATTCTTGTAACAATTAGAAGACCCAGTTTTGAATTGCGAACAGGTTCAGAGGAAATTTATAACAGGACATTTTTAGCAGGAACGCTTACTATAATCTTCTAATAATAAATAAAATCATAGTTGGAAATTGGAATACATCGATGGATGGTGTTGTTGGATCGTCATCTCTTTGAACTGCAGATCTCAACAGGACAATCCGGCGGACGTTGAACTGCAGCGTGAAGGCAACCCTGGTGCATTTGCGCTTATTTTGATTTGTGATCGTTTGCAAGAGTTCGTCTTGTGAGCTTGATGTTTTATGTTTCTTGACTGTTAAATTATTGCGTGGTAGCATTAATTTTCTTCAAGTGACCTTAAATTTTAATAAAAAATTTGCTTTGTCCAACCAGTGAATGCATGTGTAATAGCAGTATTTTTTATTTTGGGTTTGTTTTGTTAAAAGTTAGATCTTTCTGCCAAATTTCACTTAAATAAATAGATGGAGGAAGTGAATAAATTGCCTTGAAACTCTCGGCTTCTTAGTGCCTCACTTTGTTTTACAAGAAGTGTTTCAAGTTCCTTCACAATCTCTCGCAATAATAAAATCCTCTAACCTTTTAAGCTAAAATGTTCTTTATATTTTTTAAAAATTTATCCGCCTTTTTGCATAAATAAATATATAAAAAGTATATAATATCATTAACATGACGACAGAAAGAAATGTTTATAATGTTTTGTATATGTTTCCTTACGTGGGCTGGCACGTGATGAATGACGTCCAGGGAGCAGTATAAACTGACAGAATGCAACACTGGATGTTGTTTTAGTTACGTCTGTTGTTGTTGGTGCTGAACTGTGAGAACAGGTTGTTTTGGCTATTTCTTTTTTGTCTTTTGTTTCTACTGTGTTTCTTGTGTGTGTGTTTATGTGTGTTTGTATGTGTGGTGTGTGTGTGTGGTGTGTGTGTGGTGTGTGTGTGGTGTGTGGTGTGTGTGTGGTGTGTGTGTGTAAGTGGAGTGAGTGTGTGTGTTTGAGCGTTTGTCTTCTCGATCATGTATTTTCGGTAAGTTTGCTAAAAAATAAATGGGAAACGTAAAAGTTGATTACCCTGAATATATTTTTATCTCGTTTTGTGTAGATGTCTCAAAGGGGAGAAGAGCCCCACCTGCCCTCTCTTAAATCCGACCCTGTTCGTCACGTTAATGTTGTTTGTTTGCACGTAATAAAGGTTTTGTTTTAAACACTCGTGCATTTTATGGGAGCCGGTATTTGCGATGCGGCACTTCTTCTGTAAATAACTTTTATGGCATTCAATAACTGAGTAACTATTGCTTTTAATAAGTGCATAATAAATGTTGAAGGTGATGATGGTGATGGCAAAGAGGTGGTGTGGGTAATATGAAGTTGATGAAAAAGATAACACTGTGATGATAATTGGTTGCCGCTGCTGATGAGAATAATTGCAAGACCTAATTAGTTCAGTGATTAGGAAGAAGTTTGTTTGCTAATTAGTGGCCTCGTGAAAACAGTTGAGAGCTTTCAACGCACATTTGCTCAATTTTACTTTCTACACACCAACATATTTAAAATTAGAACTCTTCACTGCAAATATTAAAAAAAAAACTTTGTATCTTTTCAGTTGAAGTTCATTGAAAAGCATTGCAAATTTTTTTTTCTCACGTTGCAAATATTGATTCCTTCATTGTAGGGAGATGTTCTTCAATCAGGCCTGACAACGTATTTTAGTTTTTCCATCTTCTGGTGAATATTTAAATTCATTTGGTTATAAAATTGATGGTTCCGTACAAAGAGTGATTTAAAATGAAGACATAATTAGGTAGGCTGGCCGGGTTTTCTTATTACCGCGAGTAAAAATTATTTACTGCTAAGTTTGTGCGTGAATGATGAACGTCCATAACTCTGATTATAAAAATTTTCATACAAATTACATTAAAAATAACATTTATTTGTTTTTGTAATAAAAGATTGAGAGTTACGTTATTAATTAAATAAATAACATAGCGTTTAATGGCTCATGTTGATAAGAACAAAATCACATAACATGTAGTAACGAATCGACCGACTGACTGACTGATTAATCAGAAAACATGCTTCGACATCGGCTGGAATGAATGGTTCGATAAGTCATGCAGAACTATACATGCTGTGCAGTAGGAATGAGATAACATAAATTATATAATTATTAACTAACTGTTAAGTTTTATTCATTTTTTTATTTATTATTTTTTTATTTATTTTTCATTTATTTATTCGTTCGTTCATTCATTCATTCGTTCGTTCATTCATTCATTCATTCGTTCATTCGTTTGTTCATTCATTCAATCAATTATACATTCATTCATTCATTCACTCATTTATTTATTTATTTATCCTGATAGTTGTAACTTTTAAAATTCTAAAATAAAATTATCACGTAACTTTTGCCTTGCTAAATTTTTTTGGTGTTGGACGAGTTCACTGGTTTTGAGGTCATAATTACCTTCTGACAGCAATAAATTGGATAAAAAATCAATTTTTTCTTTCATATTTTCATCTGCTGTTGTCCACACATCTGCTGCTAATCAAATTAAAAAATTTTTCAAGTTTTTTACTTTAAAAAAAATTGGTTACTCATTAACGAAAACTTGGTTTTCACAGACATTTTTAGGTTTTACGTAAAATAATTTTGCAGTTTCGTTTACAGTTAACTATTCGTTCTTAAGTAAGCCACGATGGCCTGCATCTAAACGACATTTACATTCTTCACACAATACTTATAATTAAAATAATGAACAATTTCATTTTTTTGCTTGCTTAATATATTTATTTATTTTGTTTTTTTTTATTAAATAGATTTTTTAAATCTAAAAATTTTTTTTTTTCTGAGAATATCATGTTGTGGTTGTGGTTTTAAGTGTAGTTTGAGATGCAAGACAATTTAAAAGAGAGGAACAACAACAACAACAACATTAATATCCACCCATCATACTCTCAAGTCTCGCCTCTTTGTATAAACAGTTTTGATTAGGAAACATAAGAATCTTGAAAGCCCAACGATAATAATGAAAAACAAAATGATGATGACTCACCATACTCAAGTTATAAATAAATCAATTGAACCTCGCCAAACTTAAGCACGTGCTCATACGCGCGCACATTTACACACGCACGCAAACACACACGCACGCGCACACAAATTTTTATAGAAAAAAAAATATCATGCATCTATGTGTAAGTTAACTTACGTAGATAGGTTCTTGAGTGTTTCTACGTGTTAATTTCCTAAACCTAAATATTTTTACCTGGAGTAATGTCAATTTATGACTGTTGGTTTGTTGTAGCTAATGGGTAGGCTCCTAAAAATTATATTTTGAAGAAAAAAAATTGATGAAATGAGCGCAAATTTTTATATTTCAACAGGCAGTAGGCAAGCAGGGAGGATCGTTTGAGTGTTGGTAATTTTAGATTTTGTTTGTTTACAATGATTCGCATTCATTTCCTCGGATGGCTTTTTCATAATTTTTTTGTTTGTTTTTATAATTGCTGGATAAAAATAAATACGCACATACTTTTTTTTATAATTTTTCGAGTTTTGTTGGGGCATTTTTGCTTATTATAACCAGTTTTTATAAAAATATACTTGTGTGCGTGTGTGATTATGCGTGTGTATATGTTTGAATGTATGTGTGCACGTGTTCTTATGTATGTGCGCCTGTTTTTGGTTATTAAGTAAAATGTCTTATAACAGTCATATCAACATAAATAACGTTCTACTCTCTCTTTTAACATATCGTGTTTCTCTCTCTTTATCTTTTTTAATCCTTCTCTTTTTAGTATTTTTTTTATTTATATTTTTTTCTGCGCTACATTTGTATTTTTTCCACCCGACTATGTATTATTGTTATACGCAAACAAAACAACTTTTCAACAAATTCAAACAAATTGTATAAGCTTCATTTTTTTTTGTTTGATGTTTATTTTTAAAATACAACAGTTTATTTCTGTAGAAACTCCCTAAGTTACCGAAAACTGAAAAATGGTTTTGCGAAAGAAAAACAAACAAACAGAAAAAATAAATAGCTTATACAAAAAAACAAACTAAAGCAAAACTAGACTAAATACAATGAGTGGCGTAAGTGACAAGTATAAAAAATGAGATACAATCATTTTTTTTCTTTTCTACTTCAACTTTTGGGTTAAAACAATTTTCTGGCTGCCAAAATAAAAAGTTTCTTGAAGTTAACTGTTTGTTACACAACACAATGCAGAGCGTTCTTGGCATGTTCTACTGATGTGCAGGTTACTCATTATCAGCGCGGTCAATGTCATCCTAGATCCTAGATTTATTTTTACAATTTTTTAGTTGGTGATGGAAAATTTTTATTATATTTTATACAATAAATTTATTACTTTAATCAACAGAGAAAATTTTTTTCTAAAAATTTAATTTTTGATCGCAGAAAAAACACGAGTTTGTTCTGTTCTGTTATGATGATAATTTGTTTGTTTAACTAAAAATATTAACTGATTAACTCAGTATTATATCTGCGCATAATTCAAACAAGCTTACATAATGATTCACATATGACTAATTAAACAATTTATTCTATGAGCACACAAAAATCTTATCATGATTCATTGAAATTAATATACTATAATCTTATAAAGAAGAACAACAATCAAATTAGGCGCACAACGTGACAGTCATAAAGGCTGATTCTCTTTATTTTACAAATTTAAGTTTCATTAAAATAAATTACAATAAAACTGGCATGAAAATCAAACTAAAGTTGTCTGTGTCTATGTCTGTATGTGTGTGTGTATGTATGTGTGTGTGTGTATGTTTGTGAACGTGTTTATATTTACGTGTGAGTGTGTATGTTTGTGAGCGCGTTTATATGTGCGTGTAAGTGTGTGTGTGTGTGTGTGTGTGTGTGCGTGTGCGTGCGTGTGTTTATTTAGATACAAAAGCCAATAGAAACAAACAAAACATTTGTGTGTTTTGAGAGCCTGTGTGTGGGGGGTTTGAAATTAATGGGATTGCTTCGTCCGCTGGGAGCGCCAGATATTTATTAACACGAGTCATATCAAAAGTAACTATAAAAATAGTTTTTCGCCTTCATGTATACATATATAAATGAAATATATATATATATATACAATAATTTATAAAGATCACTGCGTTTTCGGCATTATTCAACTTGAATATTTCCCCAAAATTTCTCTCAAGGACATGGACTAAATGCGACGTCACTGGTGAAAGTAACGTTAACTCTAATCTCAATAATGAACTTAGAGAAAAAAAGAAACTCAACTACAAGTGTGTTGCGTGCCTGCGTGTGTGCATTTGTGTGTGTGTGTGTGTGTATTTGTGTGCATACATTAACTTTGTAACGTATACATAATTGAAAATCTATTGATAGAGTATTTCATCTCGAATATCGAATGTGACATCAAACAAACAACAAAAAATACAGAATATAGGGGTGAACATACAACATTTCCCATTGGAACACAATTTTTGTACACCCACACACACACATACACACACACACACACACGCGTGCATACAAACACACTATAAAATACGAATAAATAGGTCGTTTTATAATTATTTTTATAATATATTAATATAAGGCTTTTTTATTTTTTTTTTGGTATGTAATGTATCATTGTGTTTGTGCGCATGTGTGCGTGTGTTCTTTATTTTAAATATTTGAAAAAAGTTTTATGAAAAATAAAAAATCGAAAAAACAAGAAAATGTAATAAACAACGCCAATTAACCTAGATAGTTTTCTTCCTAATAATGATGTAATGGCAAAAAGTAAATTGAAAATATGCATGAGATAAGAAACAGACAAGCAAGCACTCCACTGATCATCTTACATTTGTATGGTGTCAATTCATTCTATGAAGCCCTATAACGTCATGTGAAGTTTTGCCAAGCCATTTTGCGAAGTCATATTGCAAAGTCACGTTTGGTCCCTGGCACATGTGATTACGATGTGATAATGTAATGACTATGATGTTGCGGTGATGTAATGATGCAAAAATAAAATGATAGAATGATGCAAAAATAAAATGATAGAATGATGCAAAAATGAAATGATATAATTACATAATGATATAAGAAGTTGGACGTCATCTCCACTTAGTCATTCTGATGGATGGCTAATTGATTTTTCAGATGTGTGTGTGTGTGTGTGTGCATGTGTGTGTGTGTATGTGTGTGTACGTGTGTTTATGTGTGTATGTGAGAGAGAGAAAGCGAGAGAGAGAGAAAGAGAGAGTGAATCACGAAGAAGACTCATTCATTTTCAATCAAAATTAATCCATAAAAACGATATTTGTTGAATTTGGTTCCTTGACGGACATAAAAACTGCGTATAGGATAATGATCTACTATGAATTTCATGGAAGAGTTCTATATATAATTTGTTTGTAGGTTTACGAATAATATACAAATATTTTTCTAGATGTTTTTGTGTCTAAATTTGTGTGTCTGTGTGCGTTTGTGTGGGTTTCGTTGCATTTTCAACAAAGATACAACAAATTTAATGTGTTAATTATTTTTGAAATTTATATATATTATGTTCGTGCAATTTTTGTCTGGCAGTTTATTTTCATCTATCGGGCTTGTTCATCTGATGGACATCAAACTTCCAACAAAATTTTGACACATCAATTATAAAAACATCAATCTGTTTTGAAGTTTATTCAATCATTACAAATTGAAAACTTCAAAACAGTATTCTGGTAGCAATCACAAAATTCCTGTAAGTGAACCACGCACGCGATGAAGTTTCGCCATAAAAATGATAATAATATAGATAATAAAGAGCACCTACACAAAAACAAACATACAATAAAAATTGATGGATGCAACTGACCTAACATGGAGACACATTTGGAAATAGCACACCACACTTTTGGACGAACGACCTCAAACAACCCGCACGTACTTTCCATCTAAAAAGAAAGATCACTTTTATGCAGCGTGACAACAACCCCACGTTTGTGTTCTCTCTCTCTCTCTCTTTCTCTTTCTCTGTGTGTATGTGTGTGTGAGTGTGGGTGTGTGATCTGCTTACCTATCTGTGTAATTTTTTTGTACGTTGTTATTTTATTTATTTTTATTTATTTATTTCAAAAATTTATAAAGCGCCGATTAAAAAAAAGAAAAAATTTCAAAAGCGCTACTTTATAGTCGAAAGAATAAACAATTGTTTGAGTACGTGTACATGATAACGAAACAAAAATCAAATCGAAAACAAATAAGTCTTGAGATTCTTCTTGAAAGCATCCATGTTCATTTCCGGCTTCTTCAGGGACTCTGGTAGACCATTCCATAACACTGGACCCAAAACAGCAATCCCTCGTGCACCAATACACAAGTGAGCCCTGTTTGCTATCATTAAATTTGAACAATCACTTCTCAAGCGAATGCCATCTATGGTCACTGATTTTTTCTTGATTATTTCCAACAAATATCTGGGCAAGATTCCATTCATGGCTTTATACATCAAGATACACATTTTAAAAATTATCCGTTTTTCCACATTCAGCCAATGAAGATCTTTTAGAGTCTGACTCACGTGATCGAACTTCAATCCTCCAACGATAACCTTCGCAGCTCTATTCTGTATGGATTGCAGTACTTTAATTGATTTCTTTGGGAGGCCATGAAACAAACTATTACAATAGTCCAGCCGTGAGTGAATGAAAGCATGAATCAATGTCTGTGTGGCTGATCTATCTAAATAGCTTCGAATGCGATATAATCTGTGCAACTGATATGTACATGACGAAGAGAGCATTTTCAAGTGATGTTTCATCGATAGATTTGAATCCAAGACAAAGCCCAAATTTGTTACTCTTTCACTGAATTCTATCTCTTGGCCACCGACATTTATCGAAGGTTGTTAGCCTTCACATAAACTTCATCTCCCATTGTACATAATTTCATAAAACCAAATACAATTATAATCAACAGCAAACATACATGTCCACAGAAATTTGCCTTGAAAACTCAAAAACTATACTTATATGCAAGCTTTTACGAACACACAACATCTAACAACATCTACCTCTTCCGACAAACCTACATGCTACATAAACTGCACATTTAAATACACAATAATTTCATTTAATTTTAATCACCTATACGCACTGACATACAATCATGAACACACGAAAACATGCACACATTAGATCTCACATTACTACTCACAAACACATACAAACATACATTCATCCAAAGGCTCGAATACACACCCACGCAAAACTACGCACATACCCATGCACGCACAACTACACACGCCCACAAACACTGGCTCACCCACCTCCAGCCAGGTTGGTACAAACATTCTCATCCACCCACCTACAAATTGATGTGGTGGTCATCATGTGCAAACAACATGAAAGCATCCAGATGATGTAACCGCCATAATGGGTCCACGATTAAAAGACGCAATATTTACTCCGTGTGTACGTGTGTGTGTGTGCGCGTGTGTGTGTATGTGTACGTATGTGTGTGTGTGCGTCAGTGTTTGTTTTTATTCTATGCATGTGTAGGTATGCAAGTTTATGAACGTTATCAAACCTTCTGTTGATTTGTTTGTAAGAGTATATTCATATATTTATACACATTTGTTGTGTTTTGAAATTGTAATCAGCTATTTGATAGAGCCGGATAACCAGCCACTAAATAGTTTTTTATTATTTTAAAAAATGTTTCAAAATGATGACAAAAACAAACAACACAGTTCATCCGTCAAATCCAGAACCATCGCTATTTTTATGCACACATTATTATTATTGTTATGCTATGTTCATCTCGCCGGCATGTTTACCTGGCACGCTAAATCCGTTTGAAAGCCTGGTCCACATCTATGTTAGTTTTTTTTTGTTATCAAATATTCAAATTTTATTATTCATTTAACCAGAAAATTTTATCTGTAAAATAATGCTCTTCCTTAAAAAAATACATATAAAACATTTTTTCTTAGGGCGTTTAAACAAATGATGCTCCAGAAAGTTTAAACGAGATTAAGATGAGCTGCGTTGAAAAGTTTATGCTAAAATACGTGAACTGGTTGTTAACATTAGCCTGATGTGGTTTCAAAATATATTGATTGACAGGTTAACTAAAAAAATGAAAACTTGGACATTGATTCGAGTCTTTCTTCAACTATCTTTCATCTATCCATCTATTTGTCTACTCATCCATCCATCTACCTAATTGTTTAACCACTCATTTGTCATTTTCTTCATCCGTTTATCGATCCATCCATCTATTCACCTATTTGTCCGTTCATCTACCCATTTATTTGTCCATCCATCCATCCGTCTGTTCATCTGTCTACTCAACCACCCATCCATCCACCCATCCATTTATCTATTGATGAAAAATTCATTTCGTCTATTTATGTAAGCGGCGTTAAACGATGTTATATCGATTAAGCGTTTACAACGAGACAGCATCTCAAATGTTGTCTCGTGTCCATCAACAACGAACCTCGGCCTGGCATGAGATGGTTTTAAGAAGTACCAGAAATTTATTATTTATATAAGTTAGTTGAGAATTTTTGACTTGAAGTATTATTTTCAATAATATAAGCATATTTGCGTAGAGAACAAGTCTGCTCAAGCAAGTTGGTTGTTAAATTAAAGATATAAAGAAGCAATATGTGTTGCACAGTTGATGTATTTATTACAAGAATTAAAAGCGATTAAATTCTTATATACAAGATGAATGTGAATTCTCAATCTATCTAACTTCAGCCGACCACCTTTCGATCTTTGGACTATTTCTAAGCCCAGTTTTTATTTAATTGTTATTATGAAAACTATTGTTTCATTTTGACTTTGAATTTTCAAACAAAATTTTCGTTGCCGGCAAATGGCGTACCATTAGTTCATCGCAAGTTTCACTTAATCTCATTTGAATGAGACTAATAAACTTTTATTTTCCTATTGCGATATGTTTAGCTGATATCAAATTATTAATAATAGTCAGCATTTTAAACAAGTAACAATATCACTTTATTGATAAGGTGATGGTATGGCCTATGAGATAGCCTGTTTTAAAATTACCCATTAATTGATTTATGATATTGCATGGAATATTAGACCACTGGATTACAAAAATAAGATAACCAGCGTTTTATTACCAGTCAACAATTTCAAATAAACTCTTTAATATTTTAAAATAAATTTATTGAATAATTAAATAAATAGGTTCTACGATGGCAACTCATGGAAAATCACAAGCAAATGTTTCATTGAAATAACGTCTGAGAATATTTCTTGACAAATGATGGAAAACTGGGATGTGTTTTGGTAGGAAGCACCATCATTATATTAAAAAGTCAAAAATAATAATTATGAATGAAACAAATCATTTTAATTAAGTATAAGTAGACCATATTTGAATTGGTGTCGTGATAGGAAATGTGTTTGTTCGAAACTCACCAGCGACCAACACGCCATCAACTGATGATCATGCATTTCATAATCTTTTTATCGCAGTGCAGCAAATGCTTTGCTAATTTTAATTTGCATGATAGCAACATTTTCAACATTGAAATTCATGCAAATGGTTTCGAATTGATTTAATTGTAAAGCGATATTGATTCGTTCGTAGTCCTATGCCAAATCAGCTTGATATGCAACAATGATTGATTGCTATAAAATTGTAAGAGTGGATTGGTTTGATTTACTAGTATGAATGTTTGATGCACAAGTGTTTGATTAATTGACAAGTGCAAATGTTTGATGTCTGAAAATGAAAATAAGATGCTTTATAGAAAATTTAAATGTACGCATGAGAAATGTAAACTTTTTGCATGAATATGTTTTAAAATGCTTGAATACTCATTTCTGGTCTGATTTGAATATTATAAAAAATTTCAGTAACATTGGATCGAGAGAAAGAGAAAATTTTTTTCTTTCGTAACATTTTCCGTCTTCTGGAAATACTTGATTCATGCCACCACATATTTTTTGACACCACAGTGTACGTACGTTGTAAGGCAAGGCATAACATAGGTACTGACTGATTAGTATAGATCACACACACAGATAAGCACATTCATCAAATAATTTTTGTAGTCACAGTCACTTATTCGTATGCAAATAAAACATTAAGAGGAAACATTTAGAAAACTGCTTACGAAAGAAAAGGTGCCATTTCCGAGTATTTCTCGCGAATGAATCAAACTCGTGTTTTCAATTAAACATTTTCTCACCTCATAGAAATTAGAAAATTTATTTAAAATGTTAATTTGAAATCTGTTGCATTTCATCATTTTAATAAATTTAATCGATCCATATTTAAACATTTTTTTATTTTATCAGTTTAAATTTTTTATAATGACAATTTCACGACCACGCTTATTGTTTTAAAAAAATTTAATACTTTTCAGTTATTAGAAATTTTAAAATATAGAAAAATATTAATACAATTGAGTTAACGCAGATTAAAATTATTCAACATTTAATTCTAGGATACGGACATATCGCCCCGAAAACCCAGCAAGGACGGATCCTGACAATCCTGTACGCTCTCATAGGCATCCCACTGACATTTCTCTACCTCTCCAACATAGGAAACTTTCTCGCGGACTCTCTGAAGAAAATTTGCTGCGGTGTTTGTTGCTGTTTACAGTGCAAACGTAAGAAGGATCGCGAAATAATGCGACTGAAAAGGAAACAGCATCTGATGAACGTCAGAAGAGAATTGTCCATGATGACTTATACCGACTTAAGTGGAATAAACAGCAGGCCCAAGTATGATACTGAAAATAATGTTTTACCGGCAATCAATGCCAATAACGTTACAGAAAAAAGTTTGTTATCGCCAGCGTCAGATCCATATATGGAGAAGAAAAATTCAGATAAGGATTTGTTAAGTTCAAAATTTCCTAGTTCATCGATATCTGGATCGTTTGATTACAGAGATGTTCAAAACGCTGCTATTGGAGATGATAAAAACAAACTGAACAACTTCAAACGGCATCAGAATAAAAGTTATTCGCCAAATAACATCGAGTTAACTGGCGTTACAAAATTTAAATGCAGTGTGACAATCACTCCACCGGAAGACGAAACTAACAACTTGGTGGAGCAATACACTCGAGTGGATGAAGATGGAAATCTGAAAGTTGTTGATGAATTCAAATGGAAAAATGTTCACAACGAAAAGTGCACTAAAATTCATCCGTCAAATCAAGAAGATTTTATCAGTTTAAATAACTTGAAAAACCACAAAAATGAAGCAGAAAACCGATGCGAATTAGAAATATTTGCAAATATTTTGAAGAAAATGAAGGGACCGCAATTTTGAGGTGAGACGATACAAACATCATAGTCGATGAGCGCAAAGAAAAACCAATTTTTGAAGTTGAGTACAATGATGAAAAAGAATGTGAAGAATTTTAACACGATTCAAATGCTTGTAATCATTCAATCCATTAAATCAAAAGAAATGATTCCAACCGATTGAAAAAATTGAGAAACAAAAAATATGAAACGAACAGTTATGGTGAAAAATTCAACCCCTGCAAACAATAAACAAAAAAATGTTGAAAATATACAAAAATCAACATCACTGGATCTCCCAGAAAATAATGTGGTGGTAGACTGTGAATTTAAGGATAAAGTCTATACCAATCGAACAAATACTTGTTACAACATGAATGATGAAGAAAATTATTTTCATCTGAAAAGAGTGGAAACTGCTCCAATAACTAAAGATTCACTAATGAAAAGTTTCAGAGAAAAAAATAGGAATTCAGATTCAAAGTTAGTTAAAAAGAGTTCATCGATGTCGGACGAAAAACAGAAAGACATGAAAGACAAATTGGCGTCAAAAAGCATCTGCAGAGAAAAATCAATTGTTGGAGTTGAAACGTTTTTTGAAAGAACAAATGGTATTTTTTCAAAATCAAGAAAAAAGGTCAAAAAACAATCTAGTCAGAAAGGCGAGAGAGAGGAACCAAAGAAGTTGCTCAAGCGGACCAACACGATGCCAACATCTTCGACGCTTGCTATGAATAACTTGAGAAGAGAAAATTCGTTGAGAAAAAAGTCTCGTGAACCTACTAAAGGCTCAAAAGTAAAACGACATCGATCAAACTTATCTGCCGAAGAATATTTAATAAAAATGCGACGGGCGCAATTGTTGGTCAATTCTGCTTCATACTTTTGTCAGTCTAATAGTGACAATCGTCTAATATTGAATCCCTCAGAGAACAAAAGGTACTTGAATATGCCTGCTGTAGACCCATTAATTCCATCTATTTCACATGAATCTATGTTCAACTTTAAACCTTTTAATCAACAGAAGCAAAACTTATTGCAACAACCAATGTTCAACCAGAACCTTCTAACACTCAAACGACCGTCGTCGGTAATAGGAATGAAATCATTACAAGACCTTAGAAACCACAGGGATGATCAGCATGCTCTTCATAACAGCAACGATACAAACGAGACCAGCAAACAAAATTTATCTTCAGCCGTTTCGTACATAGCGTTGCAGCCATCAGCCAACCAGTTAACCAATCCAAATGGGAAGTTATCGAACGAAAACAGCTTACAACTTGAAAATCATTCAAATGTAAGTCCTGCAGATATCTTCATAGGCGATGATCCTTTGATGGACTTGGAGAAGGATGATTTAGATGACGACGACTTGGATGAACTAGGGCAGGAACATAAAGTGACCGTCCCAATTTACGTTTGCCTCATTATCATTGCTGGGTATATATCAGGGGGAGCAATGTTATTTCAAATTTGGGAAGAGTGGGATTACGTGGCTAGCTCATACTTTTGCTTCATCACTTTGAGTACTATAGGATTTGGAGACATAGTTCCAGGAACATACATGAACAGCTGGGACTCCCATGAAAAGCTAGTTCTTTGTACACTGTGGTTGGCATTTGGTCTTTCCCTGCTGGCTATGTGTTTCAACTTGATGCAAGAAGGTGTTAAAGAAAAGTGCAGATTAATAGGACAAAAGTTAGGACTCTTAAAAAGTGAAAATGGTTCTATGTAATGCAAATAAACCTTTCGAAAAAGTTAATAACGTCTGCATTCGGTCATCCATTCGATAGAGATAAAGTTAGTCTAGTATTTGAAAACAAATAAAAAAGTATGGCCTGGCTATGTAAAAAACTTTTATGCATATGTCAACTTGTATTTTTAAACACACAATTTTTCAAAGGTTTCAATAATTGGACAAGATAGTTTAATCTATATCAAGATATTTTTAAAAATTAAAACAAAAGTCCTAACCAAGAATCTTTATTGATGATGTACCTTTAATAATAAAATATCTTGAAAATCAGATTGTGAATAGTAAATGTCTAAACATTTTTGTCACTAGGATCTTGTTACCCAAACAACATAAGAGCTAGGTAAGCTGGGCTGTTCGATCGTATTCCAGTTGTGGCATGTTTTTACATATAAAGTTAATATCCATGAACTATGTGTTATAGCGGAAACATTTGTACAGTAAATTTTTCAAATAATTTTAAGATATCAAATCTGTGAATTCCTGCAAAGTGCAACTACAAGTCCATCTCATCATCACAACTAGTACTTGAATTTCAAATTGATTATTTTAAGCCAACAATTTGTAACATTTGTAATTTTATTATTGTACAAAAAAATTGAAATAAAATATTTTGTTCAACATTATTAAACCAAACATTGAAACAAATAAAGCAGTTACATAAAACAAAAAAAGTATATGGAAACAAAATGAAGGTTAACTTAAGCGTAAATTAGAATAGAGAGCAAAAGATTTCTACAAAAGTTTATTAAAAATTAATAACTGAAATCATAAAGAAAGATACAAGACCTATAGAAAACATAACAGCAGCCATCACTTCAGATCAGCTAATAAATTAGGCTAGATAGACTTGAAAAAAATTTAAATTTATCTTTTAACAGACGGCATGGTATAAAGAAAATAGATAAGAACAAACGCCATGAAATCATCAACTCTTCAAAAACATGTTTAAACATAAGATATTGTGTCACTTGCCGAAATATAGCATCAGCAAAAGATTACAGCTCTGTGAAAATAAGAAAATTTTAAATAACAAAATTCGACAATTGCAAGCAACAAACTAGCCTAGCAACATCTTGAAAAACAAACGCTTGTAACATCAAAAATGATCAACGGTCTCGATTGCGAAAGTGTTCAATTCAGTTTCAGAGTAACTACATAGTGTTTGAAAATTGTCTCTTAAAATTGATTTTTTGATTTTTAAAATGCCATTTTTCGTTAATAAGTTAGAGTTTGATCAATCGCCACTCTAGGAATGTTTGTAAAATTTGCAAAGAACCTACTTGCAAATGTAAAGTATAAATAAAAATTCAAAACTGCAGGCAAAATAAACAGCAGCAGAAATAAGAAGCACAACTGAGAAAAATTTCAAATGATTTTAGGCTTCATAATCTTCATTTGCATCGTGTTGGTGATCAGTAGCTGTGAGTATTAGTTAATTTGAGTAAACAAAATGAAAAAAACCTGAGTTCATAATCATGCAAAAACAGAATCAAACCATGCAAAATGGATTTAGGAGGTCAAATTGTTGCCAAGAAAGATAGATATATGTAGATAAATAAATAGAAACACGCATTACGAGGATTATATTGAAAGGAAAATGTCATTACAATATAATCACACGTCAACTAACGTAAAAACGACTAAAACTAAAACAAATACGTTTAAACATTAACAACAAGTTAGAAATAAATAACAAACAGAAGTTAAGATCAACACTGGCTCCAGACACCGTGCCTGCCAATGAGATGTTGGAGTGAGTGAAGGGCTGAGTGGATCTGACTGTCTTCGTACATCTTCACCATCACTGATGCGTAATCCTTAAAATAATTAACATTTTGTTGAAATGAAATATAAATTAGGTTGACAGGAAATAACAAATTTCATTGCAATAATCACCCTCAATAATCAACCTGGAACTTTTGACAACAGAGATGTCGGTATGAACAGCATGAAAGATAACTTAAGTCTCATTGTTACCTTGAAAAATTTTGATCTTCTTCGTGAATGAATTTCATATGCAATGGTGGTTGGATGGCTTTCGTGATCAGACGTTTGCTCTAGATCAATTGAAACTCTTGACTTGAGTACATCATCACATATGTAGCTTATATGTTGTGGTGGGTCGTACATCAATATCGTGCACTTGTACTCCGAGTAACCTGTCAACGTGCATAATCAAATTAATCTAGTTACAAACAACAACAACACACGTTTAGACGACATTTTCCCCGAGATCGGGGGTTGCCGTTTGGCTACCTATGATGAAACCGAAATACTTCTCGACGCCATCCACATCTGTCACTCGCCTCAGTATCACGCAACCCCGCTTTCACCCTGTCCTTCTTCACCTGCTCTCTCCATCCCAATCGCGGACGACCCCTTCCTACCACTCCTTCAACCTCGAACTCCAACGCTCGCCTAATCCCGACCCTTTCATCCCTTCTCAACACATGTCCATACCACCGCAATCTCGATCTCCTTATCAATGTCACAATGTCCTCATTCAGTCCCATCATTGACATCAGCTCTGTACCACTCCTATCCTTCACTTTAACCCCACACATCATCCTCACCATAGCTCTTTCAGTCCTCTGCAGTACACTTTCCTCCTCTCTCCTCAACACCCAAGTTTCACCACCATATACCATCGCTGCTCTCACACATGCTTTATATACCCTCCCTTTCATCTTCACTGACCATTTCTTTCCATACAATACTCCACTCAGTTCTCAACTTCTGTTGAGAGCTTTTTCACAGATGTTTATTAAATTTTCTAACTAGATTAATTTGATTAATCTAGTTAGAAAATTTAATAAGCATCTGTGAAAAAAGCTCTCAACAGAAGTCTTACATAAATTGGTAAACATATTGCAGATAGAAGTTCTAGAGTAACAAATAATAAATTACATGGCTACTTATGAAACCTAAATAAAATAATCCTCTAAAACCTATAAAATACTAATTAACAAATATTCAACTAAATAATTTCAAATCCTTTCGTAAGCAAAAAAATAATTCTAATTTGACTCAAATATTAAAAAGAAAATGAAAAAAACGAACAAAATGAGAATGATTGAAAAAAATATAAAAAGTAAATAAGATGATCTTATCTACGACGTCCAACACCCATTCATAACAAATATACAACACCGCTTATTAAAAAATTTAAATTTTAATCAACAATGAGTGCCACGATGAAAACCTCCAATGATCACCTATCAGCTTGCCATTATCAAATTATACAAACCATTTTTCATAAATTTTTACAATCAGTTATCAACTCTATTAAACCGCTTTAAGTTCATCAAAGAACAAGCAATAAAGCTAGTAAACCAATGTAAACATTCCCTAACCTAAAATTGGGATATTGGAAGTTTCAATGTAGTCTTTTCCTACTCCAATAGGATTGTCATCAACAGCCACAAAATCTGTCATGCTTCTTATGAACTGAATGCATCAAAATAATGATAAGCTACCAAAAAATTGTTTATAAAAGTAATCATTGTCTCTAAATTTAAACTAAATTGATGAGAGATGAAAAAATACTTAAATCAGAAATTGAGTTAGTTAGTTAGTTGACTGTAAATTATAAGTAGAAACAATATTAACCAAATCTGTTTTACAACATTACTTACATTACAATTACAATTTAAAGGATGAATTAATATAAAATTAATTTTTGAGACACCAACATATCTCCAGCACGTTAAGTTGGAAACAATTTTGAAAGTGGCTGTAATGTTTGTTGGCAGACGTGCTTGCTTGTTTACCAGATTGACATCATCAACTTCTTCAATGTTGATTGTGGCAAGGAAGATTAAGAGTGCCACGAAAACAGACACTTTCAGCACAAAATCCAGCCTTGCTTGCTGAAACTCATTTTCAAGTTGATGTATAATGTTGTCTGCATTATTAATTATTTCATAAAAAATTACAAACTCTAAATCTAAATAAACAGAAACAAGATTGGTATAATATAAATATAAATGAATAATCTATTATTTTGTGCATATTTTATTTTAAGAATCCGGTTGGACAAATGAATAGAAAAAAAACATGGAGCAAAACCTTAAAAAGTTAAAACAGAATAAATTATTTTAGAAAAATATTATAAATTAGCCATTTTGGCATTTTTAGCTGTTTAAATTTAAATTGTAGTACTATTAATAATTAATTAAATTTATTTATTGTTAATCCAAATTAAAAAGTTAAAAAGTAAAAAATTAAATAAATACCCATATTTTATTTTTTTCAATGTGGAATTATTCTCAATCAGTTTTTCCTTCGGCTATTTTCGGGTTGATTTTTAGTAGACTCATCTTACGTTGGTATGGATATGAAATTATGAACGGGCTATCTATGACTGGTGATTAAGAATTTGATGACAGCCTACAATTAACCCTTTTTTTGAATATGAAATTATGAACGGGCTATCTATGACTGGTGATTAAGAATTTTCAAAAAAATGAAACTGGAGCAATGTCATTTTTCACATATTTTTGTTGGTCGTCATAGCGTCATCATTTATTATAAATAAAACGCGTTTATTTCACCCCGTTCCGTCTGATGGCAACCAACACAACATCGCAGCATCACCGCAACGAAGAAAGGTGACAGTTGAGATGGAAACAAAAACAACAGATCGATCGATTCCAGCACATATAACTAGAATTCCAGCTTATGTTCCCATCATGTAGATTAGGTATATATTTCCAGCATATACTTTTAATATAATTTTCAATAGTTTTATTCTTCCATTTCTTGCTGGCAGGAGCATTGACGCAACAGATGTGTGCCTAATATGGATTAATTGATCATAAGTTGGTGAGATTTGGTTGGAGCTAATTATTATAGGTATAATTATAGGTATTATAGGTATTATTATAGCTTTGATTGAGTTAATTAAGTTAGTTGAGATTTATTAAAAGTAGGTAAGTTAGGGCCTACGATGAGTTAATTGTTTATATTGGTTAGCTAGGCACATTGAAAATTGTCTTAAAAACCAGTATATCTGAATCAAACCGCCGAAATATTTTCTACTCGTTGTTTGCTAACTATTATTTCTAGTTTCTTTGAATATTTGTTACATGATATTATTTTTTACGTATTTTTTTCATTCATTCATTCGTTCGTTCGTTCGTTAATTCATTCATTCAATTAATCACGGTGACATACGTAAGTTTGTACGGAAGTTCAAAACTACTGGTTGTGATGTAAACATTAAAACGTTTTTCCTCGCGCTAGTTTTGTTCTCTCAGTGGCAGTGAATGCAAGCCTGGCTGAGATGCTTGTGCATCCGGCGTCGGCTTTGCTAGGTGTGACGACGGGTGTTACATAAGAACGCTACCGATACGTAAAACGGGGCGTCTGGACAAACTAACCGCTGATGGTGGCTGAGGTGTCCAGGAAGGTGGGGAATTTTTTTCGGACTTTATTCTTATTATTTTACTATTATTTCTTTTTTGCTTTTGAGATGCGTTATTCAACACAAATACTCTCACACACACATTACATTAAGTAACTATAGGTAAGTTAAGGAGAGGAATAATTTTAAATGTAGGTAGGATAGATAGAAAGCATGCAACATTAATGTAGTTGAATAGGTAGGCAGCGTAGTTTTACCTCTTTCTTCTACACTTTCTTGCACTTGCATTACACGCATCCGAGCATTAAATACAAATTCACAGATGAATACATACATTCGTTACATTGGTGTTGAACGTAATTTTATTTCCATAACACATCACATAAATTTATTATTTACTAAGGTTATGAGTAATTTAATTTCAAAGGTAGTTTATGGCAATAATTTAATGATAGAATCAATGTAAGTGTAGCAATAAGTAATTTCGTTATTAAGTTTTACATTATTATTATTAAGTTGGAGCCTAAGGCATTGTGTATGTGGTGGGGCGGGTGCTGAATAGCGAATGAATTGGGCTCTTGAGTTTTGTAGCTTCAGTTAAGCTAGGGCCAATTGTAGTGAATAGGTAAGTTAAGGGTGCGTTACAGTGGGACGGCTTTGGATTTAAGCATCATGTATATAGGTGATTAGGATGTTCAGCGGCGGAAAACCGGCGATCACTGTTCCGTCTTAAACATAAATCCTTCTAAATTTGAATTAATTTGTTTGAATAAATTTAAATACTCTATTACTATTCCTTCCATTATCTTACCGGATTATAAAACTCATGATGTTTCTTGCAAGTTTCGTAGTTTAGGCTTTATCTTTGAATCCGGTATGTTCCTTTCTTTTCAGATTAATAGTGTTGTTAGAGGTTCTTACTTTCATCTAGGTAGATGAAAAAAATTGCGTTTCTTGACGATCCTTCTCTTTGTTACTTCGTTAGTCTTATCTAAGATAGATTATTGTAACTCGCTCTACTGTGGTCTTCCTGATTCTACACTCAATCATTTAATTAAGTAAAGCTTTTAACTCTGCTGCTCGTCTAGTTGCTCCTGTCCCTTTCTTTTCTCATATATCTCCATATCTTGTTCTCTTGCACTGGCTACCTATAAAATATAGAATAATTTTTAAAGTTTGCACACTAATGTATAAGTCTCATATATTAGATATATTAATTGAACTTAAACGCCCCGGTTTACGACCTGCTTGTTCTCACTTCTTCTTAACTCGTGTTAAACGCTCTTGCTAAATCTGCATTTGCTTTTTCTGGTCCTTTTCTCTGGAACACTCTACCTTTTTCTCTGACTACTCCTCCATCACGAAGCTTACAGCGGATCTCAAGACCCATTTGTTGCAAAATTCATGAAAAGCGCTGTGAACATCGCGGAAATAGCGCTTAT